AGTTTGTTTGTACCTCAGATTAACTGAGGAAAATTCCATGTATGTCTTGTTCTGAAGTATCTCTATTGACATAAAGTGTATATTTTACTTTCCCATTGGAAAAATTAACATTGGATGTAAAGTAGGTCTGTAAAGATGTGTGTCGAGACAGATTAAGAATAAAATAATGATAGACAGAGTCTGTATGTTATAGAATACAACAAAAGTTATATAATGCCTGTCTTTGTGCAATTTGATGTATTTCCATGACATACATAATTTTTCCAAACTAGAGTTGAGATACTTAAGTATTGAATTTAATTTTCTCAGTTTTCCGAAGTAATTTTTTGTGTTTTGCAGATATTTTATATGTATGAAAAGAATTTATAATTATTCGTTTGAATGTCTTTTGATGATGATATTATATTAAAAATCTACATATAATCAGAACATGCAACATTGTATTCTACTAACAAATATGTTAAATCTTGAAATCTTGCTGATCGAAGAACCAGTACATGATAAATTTAGGACAAATGCTAGTTCTGGTAACATGCAGTAACTTGGTTAGAATCTTGCCAAATGTTCTTGTTAATGTGCAATATAGCACGGAAGGGTATTCAATTGCAGTTGAAACTCTAAAACGGAATTATTTTAATTGTTCTATTATTTTTAACGAAATGAAAAGAATTGAACCAGTAAGTAAGTAACGCCTTTACTATAACGAGGCTTACACATTTGGTTTCCTGAGCCTCAGCTGATACACAAACTAGTATTGACATTTGTTCCTCCTTTATATTATTATTGCAGTACTAGGAAAATAATTATAATTTGCTAGAAATATTTAAAATTATAAAAATTTAGATAGAACTTTATTTTTCTATTGTTGAAAAAGGTAGGATTTTTGGTCTTTATCATCATTCCTTTATCATCATTCATCATACTTTATTGCAACATTTCATCATGCTTTGAGTTTTAATTATCCCTTATTTTGATATTAAAGTTGTTTTTTGCTGTGTATTGTGTTTGCGATATTGATTTGAGAGTGTTCTTGATTTTTAGAATAATTGTCTTGCAAAAACAATATGTTACACTAATTGATTAATTATAGTTTTACTATGTGTCAATATAATTTGATAATTTTGTTAAATAATTGATGAATATCATAATATTTAATTTCAATATACGGTAGATATAATCAAAGTCATGTACATTATTATTGTCATATTTATAAGTAACCCATATATTGTACAATTTTACTAAATGTTTGATTATGAAAAAATGCATTATACAAATGGATATGAGATTTTCTCAATGATAATTAAATTATGTATTTATATTATTGTTGCATATGAAACTGATGTGTAACAAACATATTGCATTGTTTATTTCAGAAGACCGCCCACTTCCTGGCTCAGAACACCCTGAAGGTAAATATTTTACTCTTTTCTAAGAACAAACAAACTTGATCATGGGCGCTCACCAGATTGCTTTAACCCTTTCCTTCATGAGCATATTGTGAAAAATGGCCGTTTTCACTGAAAAGCCTCCTGTTACAAGTTCAAACTGCTATGAAACTATGAAAAATGCTTCAATACTGATGAAACTTGGCACAAATGTTGACTGGACCATAGCCTCTGTAACAACATGCTCAATCTTTAAATTTCCCATTACCATGGCAATGGGGGATGTCTCAAAATTACCAAAAATCACTATTTTGCATTGTTTTTTTTCCATCAAAACTGATCTCAAAGTGCTGCAACTTCTTAATGGATGGAGATAGAGTAAAAGGCTTTTCACCGTTGGTTACACATTACCTAACGATCAACCTGAAGCCATTTTTAGCCTGTCACATGTCCAAATTTTTTTTGGCGATCAAACAGAAGTCTGGCAACCCCTTGATGTACCTTTTTGATAGGGGGTGGCGTCGAAAAAGTGATTTATCAACATTTCTCAAATGAAAAACAGTGTTTGGGACCGAAATTGGGCATTTTTTCACTGTTTGAGGCCTCATAAGGGGAGGGGGTGGACAAAAAGCAGTCAAAACATGTCTATATGAGGTAAAGGGTTAAGGAAATGGGTAGAGTGTGGAAACAGCAATGTTTCAGAATGACAAGTAGGTGGGCATTGGATTTTCCAAAAGCTGTAAAATTGGTACAGTTGTTTTTGTTTGTAAAGTGATCACTGATGTTACTTTGGCAGAAATCAATCAACCATTGTGTAACTATTGTGTGTAAATATAAAAGTAAAGAAAATAAAAGTAGAAAGAAAAAAATACTGGCATGGATGATTTTAAGCTGCAGAATTAAATCAGCATAAGTTAATCTTCACGAAGCAAGGTTCAAGAGAATTTAGCAGTAAAAAGTTAATATCTAGTCATTTTAGTATCTAGTCATTTGATCACATCACAAGTTCAAGGTCACACTCAGAGGTCAATGTTTCAATACCTAAAATATACACTCTTGTTCAAGATTATGCTATGTCCAAGCACTAATGCTCTTGCTTGTACCATGTTTTAGCAAAAGTTTAAACTTTTTTGAAAGAGGGAAAAAACAGATGGGAATAATTATCACAATTTTCCTCTTAATGGTATAATTTAATTAGAACTTGAAAAATAATATTGCACTTATCAGTTAAGACTTTTCATTTTAGATTTAAAAAATGTTTGTTCTAAAAATAGACATAATTTTCTTGTGAAAATGATATATTTAATAATCTCTAGCAAGCCTATTAAAGTTCATAATGAACAATGTCTTTTGTCAGCCCATTCATCTATCCATGGTTTCATAAGAGAAAGACACCATCTTTTTAGTGCCTTTCGGACGAATGATTATATAGATGTTATACATTATAACTAACTTAATTGTCAATATTATCTTTTACAGAATCTTCCCACCATCATTTAAAAGATGCATCACCCTGGGCTTCTCCTGCACCTAGTCCAGTGCCGAGCCCGAAAGCGAGCCCACAAGGTTCCCCCAAGTTACAGAGAAAGAAGTGGGCATTCAGTGAAAAACATGCTTTTACACAGGAAAACAACTATGAGAGTGTGAACGCCCATGAGTTGGTGGAACAGCTGGCACAGTCAGAAAATCTCCAGGAACAGGCTGATATTATTCATTATCTGTACATGAAAAAGTAAGTGCTACATTTTATGTATTAGAAATAATGTAGGTTAACATTTTGTGATAAATGGAATAAGAATTTAATGCAAAAATACAGAATGATATTTTTTTTGTATTTTATTTTTTATGGCAGAACACTGTGAACTAACTGTGGTTTTCATGTATTCTTGAGGTTAAACTTCATAATGAATTTCCTATATGATGTATGACATGTTTATTTCAGAGGTACAGATTGGGATACAGAAGTTGATGGGAAATATTGTACAGTGGGAGAACTTTTACTGGAATTGTATGAAAAAGTATGTGGACTGGACATTTTTGTCATTTACAGTCAAAGCTGTGTTTAAAGACCACCTCTGTTCAAGTCACCCAAGCATTGTCTTATTCTACATGTAATAAAGCTATCCTGTCAGCTTAAGACACATCATCGGTTCTACTCAGGTGCCTAAAATAATGCACAGAGGGGCACCTTAGCTCTTCCTCCATCAGTGAAGCCAGAATGTCATCATATCACCTATGCTGTTTTGATGCAACATTAAACCCGAACAAAAAACAGTTTTCATTTATTTTTAATGACAGATTAATTGGCAGAATCTTTGTATATGCAAGTAAACTGTTACTAAAAATTAGAAAATTTAAATAAATTATTGGCCAAAAAATCCGAGATTGATTTTCAACAGTCTACATTTGATTTCATTGATAATTTGCCAATAAGATGTCACTTCACTTGTTTAATTATTTATTAGGCAGGACATTTTAAGCAATGGTGGTTAGTTAGGCATGCAGCAGGAATGTTGAAGAAACGGGTTGAAGACCTGGCCCTCGCAGCCACTGATTTACTTGTGCGTCAGAAACAGCTCTCAGTTGGGCTACCCCCTGATAGCGAGAAAACTATTACAAGGTATATAATGATATGAAAATATGCCTTGCTTACCTGACTTTCTTTGGTCTTATAATTTCATTAATGTGTTTTCTTTATAAGAAAAAAAAATATGAATGGAAAAAAGGGCTTCTGTGCTTACCTTAACAACACTGCAAAATATTTATTCTTTTAATAATGCACATTAAATTATGTAGCGTCCATTTTCATTGGATAATCATGATGTTTATATTATCCATATACACTGTTGCTATAGATATATAAAACTATGTTTGTATTTTCATTTTTGTTCTCAAATTAATTGTGCTGTATTATAAATTTGGTATAAAGACCTTTTACAGGTTGTATTGCCATGGATAACACTTCTGTTTGCAGTAAAAGCCTCACCATACAGCTTGGGTTATATAACCTTTATATTGCACCATATAACCTGTCAAAATTAATATCCTTACAACTTATATTTGAGCATGATGGTCATATATCTCTCAATGATGTTTCAGAAATCGTGTCAGAATAAAACTCTTGTCTCTTGCAGAGAATTTGGTTATTCATGGTTAGTCCAGGAAAGCTGATTAGATGATCTCACCACCAAGATATGACCAAAAATAAGTTAAATTGAGTGTAAAATCACAAATTAACAAACTTATATTATAATGTAATAATTATGTTAATATACAATTAATATATTACTTTTTTTAGCCCATTACCACCAGATGAGCTTGCCACCATTATATACAGTGTATGTGGGGAAGATCTCAGCACGGCTTCTCTTACACAGGTATTGATAGTTTTGTTAATTATTTTAATAATATAACTGTACTTCAGATTTGAAATCTGTTTATATTGCATCTACATGGTTATCTCAACAGAGATTGTAAGTGATCTTGTTCAGAGCCGAGTTTCTGAAATGGGATTTCAGAATGATTTGGTTGTAGAAAGCCATTTGATCAAGTGTGTAATTTATACAGTGAAAATATTTTCCATAAACACCAATAAAACAAATGATTCCTGGTGTATAACTAAATAATGACTACAAGTCAACTTGCTTATCAATCAAGCATTAAATATAATGTGTGTTTAAGGCTTTTTATTCTTTTTAACATGAAATGAATGGTAAAGTATTTATTTTTTTTCAACCTTAACATTTTTGAGAGATTCCATTAGCAAAAATAAAAATAAAATAAAAGATTTTAAGAGAATGTAAAAACTAAAACCTTGAGGTTAATTTTTTCAGGAGCTGTTGATATACTTAGCCATGTTTATCAGAACAGAACCTAAACTTTTCAATGAAATGTTACGATTAAGGGTTGGTCTGATTATACAAGTGATGGCTACAGAGTTGGCACGTCTCTTCAAATGTACAGGTATGTTATGACATTGTTAAAGTCTTTCAAAAAAACTGATCTGTTGTTTTGACATTCTTTGCATACATTGTGTGTGTATATGAGTCTATTTTTACTCACCACCGGTTGCACATATGGACAAGTCCTTCAGAAGAGTATATGTCATTATAGAATTTGGAAGATAGTGCCAGACACAGATACAGAAAGATGCCCAAATTCCAGAAGCTTCTCCTGGTTATTTAGCATGCCAAGTGTTTAAGCACCAATACACAGGACATATATTTAGAGTCTCACCCAAAAGACTGATTAGTAATTTTACTTGGCCAGCCCGGAAATCGAACCCACAAAGTCGAGATTACAAGTCTCGTGCTCTTACCAATTGAGCTATTTTGTCTGTATATGGTCTGTATACCTTATTGACACAGTGTGAATTCACTTCATTTCGTGGGCATGAAATTTTGTGGTTTTGTCACATTTTTGGGGTTCTTAAATTCGTGGACTGTTATTTTCCAAAAGGTAAAATGTAAATGTAATGCAAAATAATCTTACAGCAGCCGAAGTGAAATTTCATTGGATCTTAAAAGTTTGGCTTTTATCTAGTTCTAGCTAGGTAAATATGTTTGCGTTTAAATCTAACTTCACAGATTGTCTTGTTTTATGTTTTACAGGAGAAGAGGCCAGTGATCATCTTCTGAACCTGAGTCCATATGAACTTAAAATGATGTTACATCATATATTGAGTGGCAAAGAGTTCATGATTACAACAGGTAGGGAAAATTTTTCCAATAATTTTATTAGTAAGCAAATACCTATTATAGTCATGCCAGAAAGCTCGTCCATACAATTGTTACTAGACTCTATATTGCAGGATTTTAGAATTGTTGAAATCTCTTTAGAAAAGTCTTCAATTTTGAGCTTGTCAAATCCATTTCACCTGTAAAATGATGTAAAAGTTATTATCGAAGTTTAGATCAGAGGTCTGTTTGCAGACGCTAGTAGTAATATTTTTACTCGGAGAGATAGATAAATTTTACATTAGATAGTAGCTTTTAGAAAATTTGTATTAGATATAGAGGCATTCAAAAAGAAAGAACTTACTTAGAGCTTGTCAATGTCTTCTATTAATGTCTATTTCTTCATGTCACTAAAATTCATCATCGTTTCCCAGCGGCCCTCGAATGAGCTGGGGACATATTGTTTATTGGTCTTGACTACCTGTAGATAAATCTATTTCAGAAATAATATATGGCTAGAATTTTCATACTTTGGCACTGACCTATGAAAGGATCTTCTTTGTAACTTAATAAGATATGATCTTGATTCATACAATACCTTGGAACTTCAAAGTTCTGTTTTCAGTTTTAATTAAGGAAATTTCACCATACATTTTTATTGAGGAAAAGAATTTGAATGAGCACATTTATAATAAATGAATGCATCTTATTCCTTTTAGTTTTAAATATATTCATTTATTTCATTCGTAAATGTAGAAACTAAATCCTTAACAAAAATTTCTGATTCTACAGTATATCAATATTGTGTTGAATTTTACTTTCTGATTACTCTTTTGAAGTTTAAAATTAATTGATTAAGTTTGTATAATGAAAATTAAAAGGGGAGGATGTAGACAGAGAAACCATTTTGGAATTATGTGAGCATTTTATTTAAGCTTTTTTTCCCCTATTTTATTTGAAAGGAGGTACAGGTCTAACATGGTATTTAGTGTCAAAATTTAACATTTGAGCCGCGTCACGACAAAACCAACATAGTGCGTTTGCGACCAGCATGGATCCAGACCAGCCTGCGCATCCGCGCAGTCTGATCAGGATCCATGCTGTTCGCTTACCAACTCTATTACAAGTAGAGAAACTGATAGCGAACAGCATGGATCCTGATCAGACTGCGCAGATGCGCAGGCTGGTCTGGATCCATGCTGGTCGCAAACACACTATGTTGGTTTTGTCGTGACATGGCTCATTTCTTTTTATCACATGACACAGCTTGAATTCAGTGTAATACAATTATTGCGTAATTCTTTATAACATAAGGAAGCTTTTGCCATTTTTCAGTATTTTCTGGCTTTTAAACATCATGTCATTGTGACGAAAAGAATCTTGCATTAGTTGTTATTTCATTTCGACTTTCCAAACTTTTTTACACTTGTTTAGCGTAAATCTATTTGAAATATCAACTTATGTAAGGCCCTTCTATCTGTGTATGTGAAAAATGGTTTTTCAAACATGCATACTAATGCTGTAGTAATAGTTACGTCAGCTTAGATTTTAGCAAAACAAATTGTGCAGTTTTCTGAATTACACTACTTCATTCATATTAAATTTTATTTATTTCTATCTTGTACAATAAACAAGAAGAAATTGCATATACCGTATTCCCGCATTCAAGCTCTCAGCTCCCTCCCAAGAACTCAAGTATATGTTTTTAGATGCAGAGTTGTATAAAATGGTCTGAATCTTTGGACAGGGGGGGGGGGTTAAATGAGTACTGGACAATATGCAGACAGAACTTTAAACAAAAGTCATTAATCCTTAGAATTGTCTAAATGAGGATATTTGGTACACAACAAATACACGAACTGCTCTTTATATTATTTTTTAAAAGGCAATTATCATAAAACTTAAAATTCTCAGTGTATGTATGTTTGACAATTATTTTCTTTAAGTAGAAGTATATGTATGTCTGTTATGAAGATGGTATAAATGGGATTTTTCATGATTTCCTGTGGTATAGGAGGAATTGGTACACCTTGACAGCACAAGCAGCAATATTAACATGTCCATGCCACCAGTATAGAGCTTGGTCAGCGAACACATCCCTGCAGGCTTACCATTCTCTCATATATTGAAATAAGTCTTTCAATCCACAATTCCACAGTGTTATACCTGAAATTTGATATCAGAATTTAATGTTAAAATTGATTTAAAACTTTAAATTGTATAAATTTCATTTGTCCCGAATTCTATTTTATCATTGTTGGGCTAGCAAAATATTTTGATTTTAATTGTGGCAGCATGACCGAGTGCTTAATGCGTCAGACTAGTAATCTAATGATCGCTAGCCGCATTGGTTTAAACCCCATCAGGGGCCAGTCGTTGTTTCCTTGAGCAAGAAACTTTACACTCATTACTCAGTACTGGTTGGTTCCATGAACAGATTCAAAAGTGTGTCTATAAGCTTATAGCTTCCTACACAATCTAACTAGTAAAATAAATTCTGTATAAACCAAAATATTTCAATAACTGGACACTGTATACTGTTGACTGCTAATACCTCATATTCACAATGGACAGACTCAGTTCCAAATTCAAAGCTGGACTAGTTCATAACACACATTTTAGCAGGGAAGGGGTTATATAATAAGATTGAGGTAGCACTTTGCTTTGGGAACTTTAGTTTGACACTTTGTGGATACCTTATCTTCATTTTCTCATAATTTATACATATTGATGGGACTCTGTACCTCACGATACCACTGTCACTGGCAGTGATATCAAACATCAGTAACAATATCACTAATAAAAGAAACTTTAAGCACAAATTTCAGTCCTAGGTCTTTCTTTTTTTCTGTATACGTTTTTAGTTTGACTATTCAAAGAATAAGGAGAGTTTATAATTGTACTCGTGTCAGCATCTTACTTTGGCTTAGTTCTTGCTTGCAAGTTGATATCTCCAATACTATGAAAAGGAATTCGTCTAAACTTTACACACTAATTTGAGAGCATTATAGGAGGTCACTTTTCAAGACCCATAACTCTTATATCAATTTTGATAGAATTTTGCCCCGTTTTTAACTTAAAAAATTCTGCATTATCCAGGCTCTTGTTTTACTATCAGGCTATGCTCTTGTTTTAATGTCAGGCCATAGGAATAGTCGAGCATACTGCCCTACCAACAGGTCTTAACAGACATAATGTAGCAAGTCAGGCTTTATGACAAAGTTATTTGACTGGTTTAGCGTCAATTCTTATTGACAAACTAATTTGACTGGTTTAACATTAATTCTGTCAATTTTAAGATATAATTTTTAGAAATGAATATCTGTACCTCCTTATTACATCTTGGGTTTATCTGACAAATAGATTCTTTAACTAGTATTAAATTTTGTATTATGAACTTGGGTATATTACAATATTTTTGTCGCAACATTTCTATAATACATTTTGCAGGGTCTTATGTTAAGTTTAAAACTATAGTCCAAATAAAGTAAGTACATTGTATTTAATGTTAGGGATGGATCTATTTGTTGGAAAGCCTGTTTGCCAGTTTATTGTACTAGTTAAGCAGAATATTATTACAGTTCTTTAATCATTTCTCTATTCTTTAATTATTAGATCTTTGACTTTGAATATTAAAGTTCACAATAGAATTCTCACAAAAGTGTAATCAGAAATTGCTTTTTACAAAGAATACCTGCTTCTTTTGATCAGTCTTCCTGTATTATGATAATAACTAGACATGTATATTAATTTCCTTTCTAAGAAAAACAATTTGTTCACTCAATTTTAATATTCATTGTAAGATTTGATAACCCCCAATCTTTAAAACGTGAAAGTTTTTATTCCAAGTTAACTTTTAATTTCAAATTTTCAGATTTCTGACTCACCCATTTAATACAACATAGTTTTTAATGTGTTCTTTGAAATCATAACAAGAAGTTTTACATAAAAAGAAAATGAATTAAAGGAAAAATATTGAAATAGTCATTTACGGTGGAATTTGCCATAAAATGTTATGAAAGGGACCAACATTTTACCTGTCATTTTTCTTAATATTAAGATAGGCATCATAATCTTTATATAGTTACATGTAGTAATTAATTAGCTATTGAGATAATTAAACTGTTGAAGTAAGGGAGGTAACTCAGGCTTGGTGCTTGCTTGTTCAAAAGCTTGAGTTACCAAAATGTTTACTTTTCTGCAAATTTACTAATAATTTCGAAGAATTTGTTTTTAATAATTATGCAGTTTTGTAAGAAATGTGGTCAAAACAAACTCAAGCATTTTTTTAACTTTCAAAAATTATAAATATTTTTTTATTTTAAATGCTTGTGCATCAACTCAGTTATTTTTTAAGCTACATTTATTTGAATTCATTACTTTTTCAGAAAAGAGTTACTGTGTTTTTACATCCCGTGTGTTAAGCATGCATGTTAAAGTTTTTACTGTTGCGATCTAATTTTAGTAACAACGGATTACGATGATGAATACAAGCTGTCTGTCGTCACGAAACACGCTAAAAAAGAGACGTCTGCATTTGCGGAGAGATTGAGTAAAACGTCGACCCCCTCCAAGGTGCTTTTACGCCTTAAAACACTAACAGAGTATTTCAAAGCTGATGCTACTATTATTTTTCGTCTTATTTATTTATAATACTTTATGTGTGAATTTTTTTATTTTACCCTAGTTGAGCCAACTTTAATTTTCAGGAAAGAAAGATTTTTCAAGAGTTTGTTCTTTAGTTGAAAGTGATGTTCTTTTTATGCCCCCGCCATGTAATGGCCGGGGCATATAGTGTTACCCTGTTCCGTCCTTCCGTCATTCCGTCCTTCCGTCATTCCGTCATTCCGTCATTCTGTCTTTCCGTCATCATCAGTTTCCGTGCATTATCTTAGTAATGGTTGCACATATTCAACTCAAATTTGACATATGGATATGTCATGACAAAATACAGGTCAAGTTCGAATTTGGTCATGGTTCGATGATTTTTAGCAGAGTTATGCCCCTTTTACTTTGAAAATAATATGAAATTTTCAGTTTCCGTTCATTATCTCCCCAACAGTACAACACATTCAATTCAAATTTGACATATGGATATGTCATGAGAAAATACAGGTCAAGTTCGAATTTGGTCATGGTTCATCGATTTTTGGCAGAGTTATGCCCCTTTTACTTTGAAAATAACATGAAATTTTCAGTTTCCGTTCATTATCTCCCCAACCGTACAACACATTCAACTCAAATTTGACATATGGATATGTCATGAGAAAATACAGGTCAAGTTCGAATTTGGTCATGGTTCGATGATTTTTGGCAGAGTTATGCCCCTTTTACTTTGAAAATAATATGAAATTTTCAGTTTCCGTTCATTATCTCCCCAAGGGTACAACACATTCAACTCAAATTTTACATATGGATATGTCATGAGAAAATACAGGTCAAGTTCGAATTTGGTCATGGTTCGATGATTTTTGGCAGAGTTATGCCCCTTTTACTTTGAAAATAATATGAAATTTTCAGTTTCCGTTCATTATCTCCCCAACGGTACAACACATTCAACTCAAATTTTACATATGGATATGTCATGAGAAAATACAGGTCAAGTTTGAATTTGGTCAAGGTTCAATGATTTTTGGCAGAGTTATGCTCCTTTTACTTTGAAAATAATATGAAATTTTCAGATTCTGTTTATTATCTCCCCAACAGTACAACACATTCAACTCAAATTTGATATATGGATATCTTTTTGGAATGCCCAGGTCAAGTTCGAATATGGTCATGGTTCAATAATTTTTGGCAGAGTAATGCCCTTTTCACTTTGAAAATAATATGAAATTTACAGTTTCTGTTCATTATCTACCCAACAGTGTTTATACTTATTCAACTCAAATTTGACATATGGATATGTCAAAGGAATGGGCAGGTCAAGTTGGAATTTGGTCATGGTTTGATGATTTTTTGGCAGAGTTATGTCCCTTTCACTTTGAAAATAATATAGATACATCTTAGGAATAGGCAGTTTAACTTTGAATTTGGTCGTGGTTCAATGATTTTGGACAAACTTATCTTTCTTGAATATTGGAAAAATTTTGAACTTTCAGTTTCAGCACTCATACTTTTGTGGAAATGTATGTAGCCATTATTTTGGCTACAAATATGAAATATGCTATTTTCAAAAGGTTAAGACTGAATAATTTCAGTGCCTTGAACATTGAATGAAAATGGTTTGTGTTAACATTGAAAAGTTTTAAGGGCTTTGAACTTAAAATGAAAACAATAATTTGTGCAAACAAATTTGGAACTAAATATTATAACATCTGAAATTTTGGCTGCATGCGGGGGCATCCGTGGCATGATGACACATTTCTAGTTACTTGTATGTTTTCTTATTAAATGTCCTGTTTTCTTCCTGACGATGTTTTAACCATAGTTAGTTATGTACAGTAACTTATCTTTGTATTTTTGTTCCTATTCATAGTCTTCATCATAAATTATAAAGACTTTTAAACCTGCAGTGGAATACACTTTGAGTTTACAGTCCGTTATTTTGAAATTGCAGTCTTCGAAAGTGTTGAAGTTGGTTGTATGTCATAAGTCTTGGTTAAGATCCGCTAAATTGATAGATATTACTGTCTTTTGATAAGCCAATTCAAGAAACAGAAGAATTGAGTATGAATATATTTTGGTATTGGTTTATTGATTAAGTTTTAGGGAACTTAGTGACTGAAGATTTTTAGGGAGTTTGTGTGGGTTGGGGGTGTCCATATAATTTTAAAGAAAAAAAAGGTTTCAAAAATGTATTGTTGATTCAAGATGAAAAAGATAGGAAATACCTATGAATCTGAATAACCTTTTGAATGAATTTCATCATTTTCCATTCTATTTATTGTCACTCATCTTGTTCATACAGTTCTTATTGACCTACTTGAACACCCAGTTCATCTAATGTTGCATGAAGTTTTATTCAACAAAACTAACAAGAATTTGGTTTACTTTTTTATTTTTTTTTTAAAAATTAACACAATAATTAAAATATTCCTCTTTTTCTATTTACGAAGACCTTGAGGTAAGGACTGTTGGGTCGGTGATCCCAGTTCACGCACCCAGTGTAGCCTCGAGAAGGGCGTCACACATTGTAGTAAGTATGGCATGGCCTCGACTTCTCGGAGTGATACAATGTTTCTGCTTTGTTGGTTTCATAGAGCAGATCAGCTTAAAGATTATTTCAAAGAATTGTGCACCAAAAAAAACAACAAAAAAACAAAACATTTGTTGTTATTGCTTTTAGAAGAGCACCTTTTGCCCAAATTTTGCAATTGTCCCAAGCCTTTTTGCTAATTATTACATATTTCAGCATTGTTTTGACAAAGTGAGAAAATTTCTGAGAATACATTTGCAGCAAAGAATATTTTTATATAATTATACATTTTGTCTATTATTACATGTTGTTTGTTGTTAAGGCAATAATCATTCAGAATTATATGTTTTTTTCTAAAGTATTTTTTACTTCATTCTAGTCTAAATGGATATAAAAAGGTAGATAATTTTATTCAAAGCAATTTTTATCTGTTTTGGTTAAATGAACGATTTTTGGCTAAGTGTGTATCACCAGACCTTGTAGAATAGTAGATTAGTCCACTAACAACATTTTAAGATTGCCCTTGCAAGAGTGATTATGTCCTTTGTTCAAAACTAGCAGTTTTTACATAGATCTAGTTTAATATAGAAACCATATTCTATTCTTTTAATGCTGTTTGAGATGGAAAGAATAATTTTACATTTATTTTGACATTAATATGATATTTTATACAGATGTTTCTAAAGAAAAGACTTATTAAAAGTGCTTAGTGCAATAACCAATTAAATGCCCATGATTATACTGCAAATCAAGACTAAACTAGACTATTGTCTGCTCAAATATTTTGATAGCAAAATCCCAGAATACTGCTCATTGGAGAAAGTAATGAAACATTGAAGCTGAATTTTGAGTCCTGACCTTTTTTAGCTGGAGAAAAAATTGAAATTACTAGGTTGTCAACTCAGTTTTGTGTTTTTAAGGTGGTGTTGAAATTGGCCTAGATGGAGAGAATGCCAATTACAAATCTTAATCAAAGCCCAGGGTGGTTCATTACTGTATATGATCATCTTTTTATGCCGCCCCCTCCCCCCCATTTTTCGGGGATATAGATTTTTCCATCTATACTGCTATCATACTGTCTGTCCATAGCCTCACAAAAAAGGGGATAGGGGGCTTTTATAGTTATAACTATAAATATTTTTTCGATATCATAGTTTGATACTTATAACACTTTAGTTATTGTCCCCCGCCTTTTCAAAGAAAAAAGGGGGATATAGAAATAGGCTCCGTACGTCTATCTGTCTGTCCGTCCGTCTGTCCGCACAAACATTTTAGGTATATGAGCTACCTAACGGTACACTGGGACAAAAGAGAACAAAGGACTTCATTCTGTAAATAATAGTTAGCTCATAAGGAAACAATAGTAAGCCCACAAGGAAACAAAAGAAAAGAACAATAGAAATAGCTCATAAACCTGAAAAATTGGTACGTCCGTCCATCTGACCATCCGTCACACTTTTCGGTCCATAAGTTTGTCATTTATCAAAGGAATCTGAAATAACTTGGCATAAATGTTTGTTATAATAAGACGATGTGTCATGCGCTACAACCAGACCCCTACCTCCAAGGTCAAGGTCGCATTTGCTCATTCAAGGTCAACATTGTCTATTTGAGGGTATATGTCGTGTTTGGTCCATAACTTTCTTATCTTTGAAGGGATTTTGTAAATACTTGCCACAATTGTTCACAATAATGAGATGATGTGTCATGCACAACAACCAGTCACTTACCTCCAAGGTCAAGGTCACACTTGGTAACATAGTCTGTTACAGGGTATATTTTGTGTCCGGTCCATAACTTTTTCATAGATTGAAAGATTTTGTAAATACTGGCCACAAATAGTCACTATAATAAGACAATGTGTCATGCACAACACCTGCATCCCTACCTCCAAGTTCAAGGTCACACTTAGAGGTCAAAAATTAACAGAGTCTGTTTTGGGTATATTTTGTGTCCGATCAAGAACTTTTTGGGGATTTAAAAATAACTAGGCACAAATAGTCACAATAAGAAGACGATATGTTAAGTACAACACCTGCACCCCTACCTCCAAGGTCAAGGTCACACTTAGAGGTAAAAGGTTAACAGTCTGTTATATGGTATATTTTATGTCCTGTCTATAACTTCTTCATAGATCAAGAGATTTTGAAAATACTTGGCACAAATAGTCACAATGATAAGATGATATGTCATGTGTAACACCTGTGTTCCTACCTCCAAGGTCAAGGTCACACTTAGAGGTCAAAGATTTACATAGTCTGTTATAGGGTATATTTTGTGTCTGATCTACAACTTCTTCATAGTTCAAGGGATTTTGAAAATACTTGGCACAAATAGTTACAATAATAAGACTATATGTCATGCATAACACCTGCACCCCTACCTCCAAGGTCAAGGTCACACTTAGAGGTCAAAGCTTTACATGATTAATTTTTAAATTCCGTGTTTCATTTTATTTCTTTAAAAAATTTATTGTTGTATTTGCATATCTTAAGCATTGATCATAATTTTGGACTGAAAGTCCTGACTGATCCATACCTCAATCTTTTGAAATAGCACAATTTTATGCTTCGTATAAAAATTCCCTGTGGCGGGGGACATTGGTAACTCTGTTACAAATTCTTGTTACTCTTTAATTGTTTTTCCAGTGGACTTTAAAGTTGGCTCTTAAAGGTAGATGTTTAGGGTAGATGATTGATAAAGAATTTGTCTATTAAGGTTAACATTATTTTCTATATGGAAACACTTTGAAAACAGGCTAGTTCTCCCAATGTGATATTTTTACCCAATAAAATCTTTACAGAATTTTATTTGTTGTCTGAAACAAGGTGCTTTTAATCATTACAAAGAAATATTCAAAATAATTTGAATAAGAAATAAATGTAAAACATTGTAGAAAGAATAGCCACTGTTTTCTGAATTGTTCAGTATAATTTCTATGAATAACTTATTTTAATTGTTTACAAGCATATTTTGTGTAATAACATAATAAATATTTAAATAATAATGTGAATTTAAGGTACCAGGTGTGAGCTTCACACCTCCTGGAACAACCTCCAGAAAGAGTGACATGTTTGAGTCAGAAATGGAGGACAGACAAGGTCAGTGGCTACGAAGGAGGCGCCTTGATGGCGCACTTAATAGAGTACCTGTTGGTTTCTATACTCAAGTCTGGAAAGTATTAGAGAAGGTAGGTATTGTTGAATTGTGTCACACTTACTGCAGATTGCAAATCCAGATTCATGCTTATTTTTATGAAAATTTTGAAAATGTATTTAAAAGTTAAATATTTTGAGGTGAACGAAGAAAGTTAGTACATGTAACACATTGCAAACAGCATTTACAATCCGCCTAAATTACCAAAAAAAGGTAAAAATAAGCAAACATAGCCCTTACTGTGTAAGTCATGCAGTAGAAATATGGGGAAATCAGTCCTTGATTGCATATTACATGTAAATTATTACTTGAAACTTTTTACTTCTCGTTAATTCTTAGTACATTTTTCTCATTCGCTTTCTCCGTTTATCCAGAATAATTTTACTGGTCTTAATTGTGAAGGATGTCCACAAATTTTGCTTTTCTATCAAAATGGAGAAAAATAGTTACAATAATATTATTTTCAACCTATGTTTTACAGTGTCATGGTCTGAGTATCGGAAATCATTTCTTGCCACACAGTCTTACAAGAGAAGTATGTATATTTCTCTTACATTTATTTTGAATTATATATGAAAATGTTGATAATATTATCGTCATTATTATGTTAATAACATTCTGCTGGCAACAATTACTGTTTCTGCAATGAAAAATGCTACAATATTTGAACATGTCATTATCATTTTGTTGTTGACAGTTGTATCTCATTTTGAGTTTTTATTGAAATTTTAAGGCCTTAACCACTTAATAACTTGTATGTACTTCTTCAAAAAATTGGACCTTTCTTACCTCCTGAGCCCAGATTTATGCTGCCAATAGAGCTTTAATAACCTTCTTGGTACCTGAAAATTTTATAGTTTAATAGTGCTCTGAACCTTGCAAGGCTCACGGCCATGCTTATGACACTTGCAAGAAATTATTTTGAGAATGGTTCAGATAAACTTTTAAGATTTTGTAACAATCAAGCTAGAATATGTTATTTCACAAGACTTTCAGATATAGGAAAAAACGTTTTGTTGAATAGAGGACAATATTGGATGTAGGGAACTTGATAATATTTGTGAAAAACAAAAAATAATCTAATTTTCTACTTTATGATGGATGAGTTAGCATTAGATAAATTATTATTTATCACATTGTTTTATAATCAGATGACATCAGGGGAGTTCAAGTTTGCGTTACAAGTGGAGCGTGTGTTAAACATGATACCACAGCCGGAGTTCCGACAGATGATGGTAGAAGCGTTGATGGTTACGACAATGTTGGTGGACGGTGACTGTCGTATCAACCTGAGTGGTCAAGTCATACACATTGATAAAATTGTATTCAATGCAAATGATATATTCATTCAAGAACAGGTATTTGGTGCTTTTAATTTTGAGTTTAAAATCACTTTGGATAGATAATACATGTACATTATAGGGTTTCTGTTCTGTTAAAAAGAAGCAGGAAATTAAATAATATCTTAGTGAATTCTTGTTTAATATAATGCTAGAAGGCTGTCAGTGCTTTGCATTATTTCTTATATGGTGAAAAGTATTGGTATTGATGTGCTGAAAAATGTGCAAATTTTGAAATTAAATACATGTGGTACAATGTATTAATAAAAAAGAAAAGTAACTTGTTTTGTGAGGAAATGTCAGAAGTACACAATGTCAGAAGTATACAATGACAGTTGATTTCTGAAGAAAAATATAAAAAATATTAATTGTTTGACTTTTAAACACCATGAATAGTATTTTGAGAAATACTTTTGAACTTTAAAAAAAAAATTATCTCTTTTTTTTTCTTTTTTTTTCAGAAAATCTCACCGGAAGTTGTGGCCTCTTCACAGGGAGCTGCAGGTATATGTCAGCATTTATTTGATACAGCCCCTAGTGGGAGATATGGTACAATGTCTTATATGGCACGAGGACTTGCAATGGCATTAAATCTCGATCAGCATCAGAATCTGGAGTGCAGTATTAGCTGATAACTCCACACGCAGCTTTCTGAGAGGACTGATATAAATGATATGGAGTCTAATACTGCAAATTCACCTAATTTCGTTGGCATGGAATTTTGTGGTTTTGTCACAAAGAACATTTTTGTGTGTACTTAAATTTGTGGATAAATTTAAATAATGTGATGCAAAATATCTTACAGCAGACAGAATGAAATTTCATTGGATCTTAATTTCATGGTTAGACCTATCCATGAAAACCACAAAATTCAGCACCCTCTCAAATAGTAATGATTTTGCAGTATCCCTTTTCCAGGAAAAGATGTGTTGTGAACAGCTTTTATGTAGAGAGTCATGTTTACAAACATGTTTACTCTGTTTCAAGCCTTCATAACCATTTAAGAGTGAAAGTTTTAAGATGCTTGTAGTAAAAAGCTATAGTTATAGTGAATTTACTGTCAAACAGTATTTTGTTTTCATCTATGCGCAAGTTTCCTAAGAGATCTGATTTGTCCTTGTAAATGCAGGCTTATTCTTTTCAGGTGTTCTTATTTGTTGTTTTCATCAATTCTCTTCAATGTTGGCAGATTGATTTTTAATACTACCTGGCTTTTATTCATGCAAAGCTTGCGGCTGCCTTAGGGTAGTTGTTGATGTGCCAAATGTCTGTTTTTGCTTTATTCCTCATAGTCTTTGTACAAAAAAGTGGATAACAATTGAGCTTCTCAAATAAGGACAATATTTATATGTATGAAATACATTACTGGCGCATATTATTGTGTGTTAGTTACACTATTTGCACATATTTACATGTGTTAGTTACATTACTGGCATATACTTACATGTGTTAGTTACACTATTGGCATATATTTACATGTGTTAATTATGCTACTGGCACATATTTTCATGTGTTATCAACATGTTATTTGTTTTTAACTTTGGCAAATGTATATGAATTGTTACCTCATAAATCTTATTACCCTTGGCAAACACACATGGGGTTGGCTAAGTGATCAACAGGACTTACTTGTACTCTCAGGGTTGCCATCTACCTAGATTGAAACCTTGTAACTGGCAAGTCATTGTTACCTTGAAAAAGAAACTTTACACTGATTGTTCCAGGAATGGATTCAAGATTGTGTTGCTTCCTACACAATCAAACTAAAATAAAAATTCTATATACATTAAATGCACATGTGTTAGTTTACTGTTATTATCAGCCTTATTTTTCCAGAATTATCTGGTATCTAAACATGTTATCAAACCACTTGCCCATTACCGCTGTGGGTTTGAATCCTGCCAGGGACTTTTTATTCTTTCATGTACAGAAGCTATCCAGCTAGTATATAGAACATTAGTGGTTCTACTCAGGTGCCTGCTTGTGTCTGACATAATGCAGGGAGGTGTACCCGAGGTCGTCCTCCACCAGTAAAGATAGAAAGACACATAATGTCCTCTATAGTGTTGGTGTGATGTAAAAATGGAACAAAAAATAAACATGTTAACTTGAATGTACCTCAATTTTAACATTGAGTTTGGTATGTATAGGACAAAAAAAATAAATTGGCAGTTAAATATTTGGACATTTGCTTCAGATGATTTTAAACAGTTGGCACTCATTAGTTTGTACTACTTCACAGTTCCTTTCCCACATATGTTGACACTGCTTAATGAGAGCATTATTTGTCATTTTGATGCCTGAAGAATTATTTTAAAACAGTTGCAGTGAGTTTTATTTTACCTGTTAATTGAATTTGTATATTGAAGTATAGATTGGTAAATTATGTATTTTTCACCAGAATGTTTATGTTGATATTCTTTTAAAGGAACTCCGTGGAGGTTCAAAACCTGAAAAACATAAAATTGGAATTTCTTACAAAGATCAGATGGGGCATTCAAAACAAAAAGATATGCAAAAAAGAATAAAACTGACAAATAAATTGAAAATTGTATTTTTGTGCTATTCTTAGTTTGATTTGAGTGGAAAGCATGTCAACGCTTTTCAATTTTGGAATATTTTTCACAGTTACAATAATTATTCTGAAAAAAAGAATGAATGATCTGAAATTCTGCACAAAAGTTTATACTAATTTTAGTCTAGACCTACATCAAGTTAAACATTAATCTTGAAAAAAGATATACTTCCAGTCCCATCATGTCAAAAAACTTCAGTGGAGTCCCTTTAATTCTTTATAATATGGGCATTTACAATGATATATTTAAATTCATAACTAATAAGAAAGGTAACATTCAAGCAACATTTTTATGTGAGTTTATACAACTATTTAATCACTCAACTAACATATTTGAGGGACAAGTACGCCTACATAAGTGTCTACATAATTGAAATTTTAAGCTTTTACCTTTGTTCACAGTAAAAGGGTCCTGTTTTAACTAATTTTTTATCCAATGTTTTAAAATCTTAGCAATATTTGTAAATAATTATGAAATTTTTTATAAATTGATGTAAAAATGACATTTTACAAGAAACTTTATCTAT